GACGTGTGTGTGTGTGTGTGTGTGTGTGTGTGTGTGTGTGTGTGTGTGTGTGTACGCGTCAAAATACTTTTGGGAAAAACCGCGGCACGTGAGTCGACGCCGACGCCGACGCCGACGCCGACGCCGACTCCGACGCCGGTCGGTATTTCCTCGTGCTCTTTTGTGATCTCTTTGCACGGTGGGTGACAGTGAGGGATCAGCTGATCGTTTAAGGGTGCCGTGTACTCCTTGGACTTCTTATGTATTCTCTCGGTTTACCTCGCTCTTCTCCGTCATGTTCTTTTTAACGTTGTAACAGCGTGTCTTTGCTTATCAGTGACTAATGTGATATTGGACCTCGGTCGATCTTTTTTTATTACGCAAAAATTATCTGTATTTCTAAAACATATAGAAATTATTTTTACTCAGTTATTATATATTTTCTCGATATGCGCGTCCGTTTTTGTCGCATGGCGATGTCTCTTGATTACTCTTCTTCTTAGTTACATCTAACTCGGTCAGTGCAATTGAGGAAAATTCCTATTTTTGTTCCTTCTTTTTCCTTCGTTCATTTTTCTTCCCTCATCCTCGTTTTTGTTTTCTACTCGTGCTCATATAATCACACACTAGAGACGTACGATCTTCCCGCGCAAAATTGTCACGTCGTCGTGATCATCATCAATCGGGTCGTCTCGCGCGCGCGCTGCTTCGTAACCCTGGAATTCTGCAAGAATGCACGAGGCTTTGAAGGTGACCGCTGTTGTTCGGGGTGAGCAATGTGCCGGCCAGACCGGTCCTCCGTATGGTGCTCCATGCCTCGAATTGTTCGTGACGCGAGTGCCTAGATGTAAAACCCGAGCACGTAGATTGCGCTGAGTGTGCATTGTCTTTTCCGCATGTGTCTTTTCGACTTTGAGATCGCGTTCTTTTTCTGCGAGCGAGGGAAATCAGCGAGCTCAATAACTTCAGCAAGTATCGATGTCTCACTCGTGTCTCGGAAGAATGACGCCTCTCGCAGATTCCTTCATTGGCTCCAGAGGATCTTAATTTGAAGTCGAACGAAGAAGATCTGTGTCCTCTCTACACAACGAGAAATCAAACTTGTGAGATCCAATCGTGAAGATCTGTAAGAGTTCGATCGGATCAGTCATGCGAGACCGGTGCTTTAACCCTCAACTAGCAGCATCCATTGTTCGGATTTGTGTGATGATCGCATCCAAGCTTCATTGCATACCTGGTATTTATGATTGCGAGCCATGAGTCAATTTTAAACGGACGTTTACAATGCTATCGGTAAATTGTAAAGCAGCCTGTATACATTTTCAAGCATAATGCATATGAGATCTGATAAAAAACCAGATTGAAAAAAGGGGACATTACATAGCCCTCTATGTGATTTTTTTATTTGATAAACACTCGAAAGTTGAATAAAAGTATGCTTCTTATGTTTCGCGCCGAACATACTTTCGTCGCTCGTGCTGGAAAATGCATGACGGAAATATAAACCATTAGTATTAAATTTTTGTCGACTTCAATGAAACTGCGGCCTATGCTAATATAATATGCTAAAAAATATTTGCGGCTATACAACAAAGACACATTTTAACCATAGAAAAGCCACTAAAAAATATGATGAAAAATATAAAATGAAAAAGTTTCAAAATATGAAAATTATTTTGAAAAGTGTGACGTCTATAAATAGAAATAATATATAAATTCTTTAATATTTCAGTAATAATAGGTTCTTCGATTATTTTTTTTTCATAGTTGGCCAATGATTCGCTTAAAACGAAGTGCCGCAACTAATTTTCTCGCATGTATTTCTCTTGGATATCAAAGTTACAACTTGAGGATTGAAGCACGTGGAAATCTAATCGTCATAGCGGATCGTCACGTATTTCCATATGAAAATTTTGAGCTCTCGTGTATATCATCGAGCATCGTAATCCTCGTTTACGCGAACATCGATGTTAATCCCGGCTCTTTTTCCATATAAATCGTCGCGTCGTCTGACAAGAAGTTTCGGATGTTATGCATCGCTATGACTGATAGTTCGTGCAACATAGAACGCGTCTCCTCGCGGAAATGAAAAAGGAAAATGAAGCGCGACAAACAGAGAAGGACCATGAAGAGAAAGAGAGAGAGAGAGAGAGAGAGAGAGAGAAGAGAGAGA